GAGTGCCTAATAAATTTTTTTTTTTTTTTTTTTTTTTTGAGACAGAGTCTCGCTCTGTTACCAGGTACGAGGCTGGAGTGCAGTGGCGTGATCTCAGCTCACTGCAACCTCAGCCTTCTGGGTTCAAGCAATTCTCCTGCCTCAGCCTCCCGAGTAGCTGGGACTACAGGCGCATGCTACCACTCCCAGCTAAGTTTTATATGTTAGTAGAGACAGAGTTTCACTATGTTGGCCAGGATGGTCTGGATCTCTTGACCTCATGATCTGCCTGCCTCGGCCTCCCAAAGTGCTGGGATTACAGGCGTGAACCACTGTGCCCTGCCATAAATTTTTTAAGTGGTGAAAATGTTACCTCTTAATGAGCATCATTTTTTAAAACTTTAGGATTTAAAGGTGTGACTGATAATTTAGTGGATGAGTAACTTTCTTCATTTCTTAGATACTTTATCTTACCTTTCCATATGAAATAGTAAAACCTCTTACTATAGAATAAAGTATAAACTTTAGAATAAAGAATAAACTTCTTTATCCAGCTTCATATACTACAGGTGATTAAGAAGAGGGCAAGAAATATTACATTATCTTTTCCATGTACTGTGACTGTGGTGCTTAAGATCCAAACACTTTCTTCATGACAGCATATAGTCTTTCTGAAAAAAAAGAAAAAGAAAAAGCGTTTTTACTTTAAAGAAACTTTCCTTGATAAATTGCAACAAAAGCTATTAATTTCTTCCTGTTTCACTTTCGATAAAATATAATTAACTGATTTTGAATGCTTACTGTTTATTAAGCCTTTTTCCACTTTGCTAAGCACAATCTAAACATGTCCTTTAACCTTTACAAGAAGCCTGAGACTATATTACTTGCAATACGTTACTGTTCCTAGTTCAAAAATGGAGGGAACTGGCTCAGAGAGGATGTTACTTGCATGTAGAACTCATTGATAGGAGAATAGGATCCTGAGTTTGGTTCCAAGTGTCCATGCCATAATCTCCTAACCTTACATGGTACTTTTGAGTATCAATATTTCTACCACTTTTCAGAAAAGTTATTTATTTAATCAAGCTAAAAACAGAAGTAAGCAAACAAATGTCATTTATTGATTTACCTCCAAGAAAATGAGTAAATTCATTTATTTCACTCAGAAGCAGATATTTTATTGAATTGCTACTATATGTCTGCCTCATGTAAAATACCTGACAGAATTGTTTAAGTTGGTGGGGGACTCGAGAAAGGTATCTAGTTAAAAATATAAATTCAGACCTGACAGATGGTATCAGAACTGTCTTCCATCAAAAGTAGAAATGGGATCACATTTTTATGGAGGACTGTCAACAAATTAGTAACTCGAAAGGATGCACTTTAACAAAGACAATCCCAAGAACAAAAAGAGAAAAAAGATTTTAAAAATTTTAAATTATATAGGAAAATATGCCTTTTGATGCTGCCCCTCATCCAGCTAGAGAGGGATTAAAACAAGTGATGATAAAAGAATAGGCCTGGTGTGGTGGCTCACACCTATAATCCTAGCACTTTGGGTGGTCAAGACAGGTGGATCACTTGAGGTCAGGAGTGCAAGACCAGCCTGGCCAACGTGATGAAACCCCGTCTCTATTAAAAATACAAAAATTAGCCAGGCATGGTAACACCTATCTGTAGTCCCAGCTATTTGGGAAGCTGAAGCAGGAGAATTGCTTGAACCTAGGAGGTGAGGTTGCAGTGAGCCGAGATCATGCCACGGCACTCCAGCCTGGGTGACAGAGCAAGACTCTGTCTAAAAAAAAATAAAGGAATTCATAATTTGGTAAGAGAAAGATATCTTTTTTTTAATAAATATAGCATTATGTACAATTTGGAACATGGAGGATGTGTTAGGTAGAATTCTAAAGATGCAGCCCAGTGCAGTGACTTAGACTTGTAATCCCAGCCCTTTGGGAGGCCAAGGCAGCTAGATCACGAGGTCAGGAGTTTGAGACCAGCCTGGCGAACACAATGAAACCCTATCTCTACTAAAAATACAAAAAATTGTGGTGGCTCACGCTTGTAATCCCAGCACTTTGGGAGGCTGAAGCAAGTGAATAACCTGAGGTTGGGAGTTCGAGACCAGCCTGACCAACATGGAGAAACCCTGTCTTTACTAAAAAAAAAAAAAAAGAAAAGAAAAATTAGCTGGATGTAGGGGGCACATGCCTATAATCCCAGCTACTTGGGAGGCTGAAGCAGGAGAATCGCTTGAACCTGGGAGGCAGAGGTTGCGGTAAGCTGAGACTGCACCATTGCACTCCCACCTGGGCAACAAGAGCAAAACTCAGTCTCAAAAAAAAAAATAAAAAATTAGCCAGGTGTGGTGATGCATGCCTGTAATCCCAGCTACTCGGGAGGCTGAAGCAGAAGAATTGCTAGAACCTGGGAAGTGGAGGTAACAGTGAGCCAAGATCGTGCCATTGTACTCCAGCCTGGGCAACAAGAGCAAAACAGTCTCAAAAAAAAAAAAAAAAAAAAAATTTAGCTGGGTGTGGTGGCAGGTACCTGTAATCAATCCCAGCTACTCAGGAAGCTGAGGCTGGAGAATTGCTTGAACTCGGGAGGTGGAGGTTGCAGTGAGCTGAGATCATACTGCTGTGAAGGGACTTTGTAGATGGGAGTTAAAGTTATGCTTATCAACGGACCTTAAAATACAGAGATTATCCATAGGTGATGTGTGTACAGGTTCAGTATAATCACATTAGCAGCAGAAGAACGCAGAAACGTTTGTCATAGAATTGCAGAAAAAGGGAGCAGAAGAGAGGGGGAAGGTCAGAGAGGGTCTAATGGAAAGGATTTGAGTGCCATTGCTGCTCTGAGATGGCAAGAGAGGATCTAGGAGCAAAAAGAATACCTAGCTGACAGCCAGCAAAGAAATGGAGACCTCAGTCATACAACTGCAAGGAAGTTGATTCTGCCAGCATCCTGAATGAGCTTGGAAGCAGATTATTCCCCCAGAGCCTCCAAATAAGGAAGGTAGCCCTTCTTGCACCTTAATTTTAGCCTGTCGATGCCTATGTTAGACTTCTGACCTTACAGAGAGTAAGGCAGTAGGTGTTTGAAATTGCTAAGTTTGTGGTAGTCTGTTATAGCAACAGTGACTAATAGAACAAATTTCACCCTTAGAGAGAACAAATTGCACCCTTATTCATATCTCACACCATTAATATTATTTTGTTTATTCCCTTCCAGTTGTTGTTGATGTGTGCCATTTGCTTAATTATAAACCTAATAGCACACATTTATTTTTGGATCCTACTGCTTTGCTTAACTTGATCAAATATATTTCCCTGTGTCACTACATAGTTTTACTGATTATTACTTTTAATAGGACTATAGTGTTCCTTTGAGTAGGTGTAGCATGATGTGCTTAACCTGTTGGACTTTCTAGATTTTCATTATTATTAAACTGCAGTGTGCCTTTCCATGCATATGACCTTTCTCATACTTGAAATCATTAAATTCTCAGATATATCATGACTGGGTCAAAAGATTGTGAGCATTTTTTATAACTTCTGTTACATATTGGCAAGTTTTAAGTGACTTACCAGTTTGAAAGTCCTTAGTAAGGATAAGAGAACCATATTCACTGAAATTATAATTACCATTAGTATTTTTTTTTCCCCCCGAGACACAGTTTCACTCTGTCACTCAGGCTAGAGTACAGTGGTGTGATCTTGGCTCACTGCAACCTCTACTTCCCGGGTTCAAGCAATTCTCATGCCTCTACCTCCCAAATAGCTGGGATTACAGGCATGTGCCACCATGCCCAGCTAATTTTTGTATTATTAGTAGAGATGGGGTTTCACGGTGTTGACCAGGCTGGTCTTGAACTCCTGACCGCAGGTGATATGCCCTCCTCAGCTTCCCTCCCAAAGTGCTGGGATTACAGCTGTGAGCCACCATGCCTGGCGGCTAGTATCTTTTTAAAATACATTTTTTGCCAGTAGGGAGATGATAATTGGTGGAGAGTTTAAATTTAGTGGTTCCTAATTTGTTCAAAGAATTAATGTGTAAGCTACTATTTTAAGTATTTTGGCGGGGGAAGGAGGATAAGAGGCTGAAAAACTATAGTACCTGATGAAGAAGTAGGAGAGTGCAAAACGTTTATAATAAAATTAGTCACATACAAGTCATAATCTCTTAAGAAGATAACACTTCATATCAGACTATTTTTAGACCAACTCAATTTTTTTTTATCAGCGGTGTATTTACAGTCTACTGATACTACATTCTTATTTTCTACATCTATCATGCTGATTTTCTAATAGCTATTTAAACCATAATTACTGTACAGTTGATTGTTCTCTTAAATTTCCAACTTATATTCCATTAATACCTTGCAAAAGGGAAATTTTTAGTTAGAAAAAAATGTACGGATATACATATTTTGATTGAATAGAGAGACTAAGTGCTAACTTACAGTATTCTACATACTTCAGAGCCAAGTGGGCTATTGGACTCAGAATGAAGTCTAGCTAATACTGAAATATAAAGTACATATTTTCTCTGCAGTTTTATACTGTTAGCTTGCTTACGTGTAAAGAAGCAATGAGTTAAAATGACAATAAATGGGAAGTTAGGATTCTAGAGCCTATTGTGTTATTAACTGTTACCTCGAACATATCACTTAACCTCTGGGCTTCTGTTTTCTGTTCTATAGAGAGGGGGATTGAATATGTTGATCACATAAAAATTGATCTTACAGGAGCAGTATGAAAGCACTTTATAGGCGGTGAGGTGGGCTATTAAAAAAAGGTACACGATAGAAATCATTACATTGTCTGTGACTGGTATGGAAATTAAATGAGGAAATTTCTATAAGCACCTAGAATGGACCTGGCACATGGTAAGCATTCAACATTAGTCAGTATGAAAATAGAGACTAAAATAATCTGTTTTTGAAAATTAAACTGCTTTAGAATCTGTACAAAAATAAAGTGTACTTTAAGTAAGCACATGCTTTTATTTTCTAGGATCAAATCTAAATCGCTGTGGTTTCCGAGGCTCTTCATACCTGGGTATTCCATTCAATCCATCAAAGGTTGGTTCTGTTTGGATCAGAAGGAAGCAGAAGTGATGTAGGGATGTTTTAGTGAGAGAGAAAACTAAAAAATTACACAGAAAAAAACAGGCTTCCCAGTTTCAATGTGGCGAAATGCTGTCTAATAGTATGTATTATAAACAGAAGCCCTTTAAAGGAAACCTATACCGACTTTACTTCCTCAAAGAAGTTCATTTTCTTCCAGGAAGAATACATGCAGCACATAAACCCAGAAATTTCTATTAATTCTTACCAAAAAATTGTCTTAATATCATGTATCTGTGTGTAAAAGTTATTGGTGATTTCCTGAAGAAAGGTAATAGAGGACTGAAGTGTTTTGATGATTGCTCTCTAAGAAGCCAGTAAACTTCATTGTGTTATAGAAACACTCCACATTTAGTTCACCTTTCTTAGGAGTAAAAGAAAAAGCCCTTCTAAAGGCAGTGATTGAAGACCTAAATAGTGATCATTTAATGACTTTTACGGGAATTGGCAAAACTTCTTCATGGTTATATTCAAAGACTTTGATACCCACGCATGCCAATATAAAAACAGTGAGTCCTAGCAGAGGGCAGAGCTTTATTTCTTCTTCAAAGAAACAGACCTGGAAGAAACTTTTTAGGTGTTTCATATGTGCAGAAAATACCAATATTTTTCTCCAGTAGAAAATGGAGAGAATCATCATTTTTTCTAAAGAGGCCTCACAACATAGAAACTTTTGTTGTGAGGCTTCTTTATATGGTTATAAGCCAGTATCTTGTTGGGCTGTGTGTACCAAGATTTTTATCCACTTGCAAGGTAAATGGAGAGCTGCCAGTTATTTCCATAATGTGCTTCAAATTTTCGGAATAAATAGCAGTAATTTTGGAGAAGATGACATGCTTTGATAGAGGTACTACTTTGGCTTTCTTCCTCTGCCTTAAGCTGTAAATCAGCTTGCCTGTGTCAAGGTCATATGAATTTACCAGCAGGACTCCAATTATGGGTTCCCATTGTACTTAGCAGAGAATGAGAAAACAAAGGATTCATGAAATTTGTTCCTTTTCATGCCTATCCAATTTCCAACTTAGGTTAATCCTGAATAAAGGTAATGTCTTAATTTAGTCATAATGAACAGAATATCTGAGTGTCATGCCGTTGGTAATGATGGCCGTTATATAGTACTATACCATATATAGATATATACCTATATTTGTTGGGGTGCTTTAATAACAATACTTTTACAATATGATCCCCTGACTGACTCCTGCACCAAGACATTTTCAAAATAACAGGAGTAAAATTGAAGAAGAAACCATTATTATCCTTGGTTCACAGAGTCTCCTGAAACTCCTTTTTGGACCTTCAGTCACTTCAGACCCTGTCATCTGGGCAAGCTAGGTCCCACTTTGTGCTGTGTTACCTTTGTCTGAATTCTGGGTGGTAAAAGGAATTTGATATTTTAAGTGGTATTATCACATAGAGCTGTCACTGAGAGTGGTGCCTGGGAGTCCAGGAGACAGATTAGGCCAAGAGAACGTGAGGAGGCACTTTGGATTGTCCAGTACAGTATATGAATAAAATGCTGTCACTGATTTTTCTTGTGAAACCACCAAACTACCTATGGACCATTTGTTGACTTACCTGATAAATGCTTGGAATGTTCATTTCCTGCAGAGCACTTTTTGAGAAACACTGATGGATCTGCCCACTATTCTCACTATTTTCTTTCATGAATCCCATATTCTCTATCACATTTTGTATTGTCCTTAATGTGTACCCCAGAATTTTCCATCTCTGATTTGCTTTACATTTCCTTCTACCTGTAATGCCACCTCTTCACCTATACCTGCGCAAGCTCCTCTTCTGCAGAAAAGAATTCCGGTTTAAACCCGTGTATCATTATCCCTCCTTTATGACTGCTTATTACATTCTGTTGTAATTATTTGAATAGACTTATCTTCTGCCCTTAAGGTTAAGGTCCACATTTAATTTATGTTTGCATTCCCTACGGTTCTTTTAACATAGCAGGTGTTTAAGTACCAAAAAGTGAAATACACAATAGAAGTTCTAAGAAGTCTATTGTAAATATTGAATAGAATAGCTACGAGAATGAGAGCTTAAGTTCTAAGGAGGAACTTAGGATGAAAGATGTAAAGATAGAAATTTGCTTGGACCATTTGTGAGACCATATAACTGTGTTATCTGGCCAGGATCCATGACTCACAACTGTAATCCCAGCACTTTGGGAGGCTGAGATCACTTGATCTCAGGAGTTTGAGACCAGCCTGGGCAACATGGTGAAACCCATTCTCTACATAAAATACAAAAATTAGCTGGGTGTGGTGGCATGTGCCTATGGTCTCAGCTACTTGGGAGGCTGAAGCAGGACAGGAGGATTGCTTGAGCCTTGGAGGTGGAGGTTGCAGTGAGCTCAGATTGTGCCACTGCCCTCTAGCCTGGGTGACAGAGCAAGACCCTATTTCAAAAAGGAAAAATGTGTATCTAAAGGTGGGTAGGTGGGGTGGGTTCAGATTATTATAAAAAGGGTAGTGAACACCATGTAAATTCATTATGTGAGGAACCATAGGAGGTCAGTATGTAGGAAAATCTTACGATTAAGTCGTGGGTGGGTTTTAGACCCTTGAATCTTGACTTTAAAGAACTAGTGGCCCCTTTGATATTTGCCTTGCACTTAATCATCATTAAGATAGATAACAACTTTTTAGACAGTAACTTACTTAATCTTCACAGTAACCCAGTGAAGTGTAGGTACTAATATCTTCATGTTCTAAAATTAGGAACATTGAGCAATGCAGTAAGAAATAGAACCAGGAATTTATGCCTTTTAATTATTGTAAAAGTTTACATTTATTAAAGAAGGCAGAGGAGTTTATTTTAACCAAAATCGTGGTACAAATTTTATCTTTCTACTGTTATAAGCAGTTATTCCAGCATTTGAAGCTATTACTGGTGAACACACACTAAAACAGAAGGGATTCCTATGAGAAGATGAATTAATAATATACTCTTATTCTGTTAAAAGTAAAACTTTTTTAAACTGAGAAATACTACAGTGAAATTTTATATTTTTCAAGTGAAAACATCTTTTAACATAACCAATAAATAGAATTAGTTGATTATTTGAAATTGATCATAAAACTCAATGCTTTTGTATGTTTTGGAATGTAAAGCTATTTAGTATAATAAACCGTTTTTAATTCCAGTTTTATCTGTGCCATTGCCAACTGCCAGGTTCTTTATAGGGTATCCTACAAGAAGTCACATATTTTATTAAGTTTAAGAAATCTTTGATAACTGTAATTCTCTTTTTTAAAATTTTACTTTTCAGTTCTCAGATACATGTGCTAGACATGCAGCTTTGTTACATAGGTATGCATGTGTCATGGTGTTTTGCTGTTCCTATCAACTCATTATCTAGATTTTAAGCCCTGCATGCAATTAGGTATTTCTCCATCCCCTTTCCCTCCACCCAGTGACAGGTCCTGGTGTGTGATGTTCCCCTCCCTGTGTCCATGTGAGAACATGCGGTGTTTGGTTTTTCTCTTCCTGTGTTAGTTTGCTGAGGAAGAGGGTTTCCAGCTTCATCCATGTCCCTGCAAAGAACATGAACTCATTCTTTCTTATGGCTGCACAGTATTCCTTGGTGTATATGTGCCACAGTCAAATCATTTGAACTAATCTGACACATATTGTGGTAATATGCGTTTCCAAGTGTGATTTCTTTGTTTGCCTAGATAATTGCTAGTGTAATAATCTTTCCTCAGAAGCATAGGATTCATCACTTTTTATAGGCAAAAATCATTTGGGCTCTAAATTTTAAAAGTTACACTATTTTATTTCTAAATAAAATACAAACAAAAAGAAATACAAAGAAAAGCTCCAAATACTAAATCAGTTTTCCAGTTTTAATTGTTTTAGTATTTGGAGCTCTTTGCTTTTTTGTTTTTTGCTATTCCAAGAGCCAATGTTTTACTAATGACTCAAACTTTATATTAGAGCAGAATGACAAGATTTTCAACTGTATCCTTTTAAAATTTCTTATATGGCGATCACTACTGTGTTATTTAATTTAGATTTGTACTATATGAAATAAGTTTTGTTGGCCAGGCACAGTGGCTCAAGCCTGTAATCCCAGCACTTTGGGAGGCTAAGGTGGGCAGATCTTGAGGTCAAGAGATCGAGGCTATCCTGGTCAACATGGTAAAACCCCGTCTCTACTAAAATACAAAAAATTAGCCAGGCATGGTGGTGTGCACCTGTAGTCCCAGCTACTCGGGAGGCTGAGGCAGGGGAATCACTTAACCCTTGGAGGCAGAGGTTGCAGTGAGCTGAGATAGTACCACTGCAACTCTAGCCTGATGACAAAGTGAGACTCTGTCTCAAAAAAAAAAAAAAAAAAAGTTTTGTTTTAGAAATCTTTTTGTCTGGAAGGCTGTATGCTTTTCTGACTTTATAGACATATATTGTAAGTAATAGAGTTGATTTTGTGTTTAAATAATTTAGTCAGGTATGGTGGATTGTGTCTGTCATAATCCCAACTATTCAGGAGGCTGAGGCAGGAAAATCATTTGAGCTCATGAGTTGGAGGCTGCAGTGAGCTATGATTGCACCACTGCACTCCAGCTTGGGTTTTAGGTAAGACCCTGTTAGCCTCCCAAAAAAAATACAAAACAACAAATAGTAAATAATTTGGTTTACCTGAATATCATAGCTGCTTCCATAATGCCTGATGTATCAAAGAATTTAAAAATTAGGTAGCTTGAAATGTATGCAATCATATTCATGTTGAGACATACATAAAATGGAGGGTTTTTTTTTCTTTAATAAGCTGTCTATAATAAGTATAAGCCACATTTAATTTTACTATTTTCTAAAAACATATGTCAGATTTCTTAATGAAATAAGTTTTCATTTAGCTTTATTAATTAGTACTATATTAATTTTGTATTTAGACTCCTGGAACAGCTCATCCTTATGACAGTGGCCACATTGCAATGACCTACACTGGCCTTTCATGCTTAGTTATTCTTGGAGACGACTTAAGCCGAGTAAATAAAGAAGCTTGCTTAGCAGGCTTGAGAGCCCTTCAGCTGGAAGATGGGAGGTATGAGCGTTTCTTTGTTACTCCTTTTGTAATAAACAAAAATATTTTGGAACTAAAAAATGGATACAACACTATACTAGATCTTTAGAGGATCATACTCTTATTATTAGAACCACCTAAAGTTTATGAGGTACATAATTAAATGCATAATCAAAAAAGTGACCCAAGATTTCTTCTGTGAGTGAAAATAAAAGTAGTTACAATAGCCAGACTCCTTTCTCTTCCTTTTTAACAACAATGGGTACATAGATAAATGGTTGAATAATTTCAGGATTAGAATCTAATTTACATTCTAGATGAAAAATGGATGTTTTGAAGTATGTATACATTTAGTCTGAACTTACAGTTCCTTGCGATATGTTGATTGGGGAAAAAGGGGTGAACATTCAATATTATATTCCAGGGTAGGTAGTTTCTATGACAATTTTTTATTAAAAGATAGAAAAGGGGGTTCATATATTCATTACTATTTGGTGATTCACATGGTGTGTCTAAAGATGAATCTTCCTGGAGTTTTAAGGTAGAAAAAATTAAGTCTGAGAAGGGATAAAGCAGTAGTGAAAAGGCTGAAGACTGCAAACAAATCCTGCTGTGCTGTTAATGCTTTGTGCTCCATCTACTAATAGCTCTGTTTTCCTGTCAGTGTTTTCAAAACACTGCTCTTGATGAGGGAAAAATTAATGGAGACAAGTAGAATAAATTGACAGTAATTGGAAACACTAAGAAACTATTTACTTCACATATATGACTTATATCTCAATATTTCAGTGTAGTCTTTGATTACTGCTTCCTTACTCTTGTTTATCAATAAATATATATGCAACACACATTGCTGCCTCTACAATTAATATGTAAAAATTAAAATACAATATGATTAATCAATTAAATGGTTATCTCTGTATACATTTAGAAGAAATTTCACATAGAAAAACTTGGGCTTGGAAATTTCTTATTACCCAGTAAGTCTCAGGTTTTACCTTTTACTTTTTCTGCCATTCTCAAGCCAGTGTGCTGCAGCTGTCCCTGGCTGGAAGCAAATAAGCTTATGCTGAGTCAGCATCTGGGAAGCAGTAACATGATAGTGTATAAAACTACCCAGAAGTCATAAGATTGTAGTAGAATAATGATTTAGAGAAAGTTTTATATTATTCAAGTTAGTAGTCTTATTCTTTATTGAATACAAGTAGAATAATCAGCAATAGATTTTTCTGTCATTAAAGACACAGTGGAGATATTTCTAACCCCCATGCAAAAAAAATTAGACTCCATTGTTCATAGAAAATCATGTAGTTGTTATTGTTTTCAGTTTTTGTGCAGTACCTGAAGGCAGTGAAAATGACATGCGATTTGTGTACTGTGCTTCCTGTATTTGCTATATGCTCAACAACTGGTCAGGCATGGATATGAAAAAAGCCATCACCTATATTAGAAGAAGTATGGTGAGTCCTGTTGATAAAATTGACTATTTAGATTGTTTTTGCTGGCACATGAGGACTGTATTATAGTGTATGTCTCGTCTCTTCCACCAAGAATTTGTAAATAAGAGCATTAAGATTGCTTTTAGGTAAATTGTGTATCAGAACACACTAAAGAAATAATCTTAAAGGGCTGATTGACTCATTGGCCATTAAAATTTAATTTGATATTATCTAAAGAAGCAATGTCTTTATAAGAAAGGGATTGGTTGACTTACAAGAAAAAGAAGTAAAATCCAAAAGTCAAATATTGACAGCCTGTTCTGTAACAGGAGATAGTAGAGAGTCCTGTCAAGCAAACTGGAAGATTGTGGTATCTTTGGTGAGACTATAATCTTTTTATTAACATGAGTAAGGAAAGCTTAGTTTCAGCCAGAACTATCCTTTGCTCCGCTGTGTCTTCTCTGTATTAAAGGAGAAGTACAAGTACTGCTTCCCAGATTTATTGTTTACTAAATATGAAGTTTTTCATTTTATAGATTACAATATTTTAGGCTGTTAATTCAACTTTTAATAGGCAGTATTTCAAAATGAAAATGTGAGTTCCTAAGAAGAATGGAGTTGCATTTAAGCAATTAACTGTGGATCAGATTTTTGTACAATCTACAACAGCACAAATTTTTAAAAGCCTGTGAATACAGAAAGAAGAGACCATTAAAGGAGTTTTAAGAGGAAAAGAGATTTATGTTTGATAGGAAGGTGGGTGGTAAGAATTTTTGGTATGGATAGTACAGAAGTAATACTAATACTGCCTTCTCAGTGCACTGTATTTGGAGGTGTAGCAAGTTGATTTGCCCTATTTCTGCTCACTTGGTTAAGGTGGCATATGCCAGAGTTTTCTCTGTTAAGTTAATGTTTTCCCTTTTGTAATTACTCAATATCTTATGGTGAGATATCTGGAAACTATAAATATTCAGTCAGTTCTCAATCAAATTTTTATCCAGTAGTGTTGTTAGTATGCATTGATGATTTTCCAGCTTTAGCATCCTTCTTATAAATATCAGTTAAAATTCTGTTTGAAAAAAACTTTCTCTCTTCCTTTGTTTATTTACTTACTTATTTATATCTCTGTGGACTCTAGATTCTTATTTAATTCAATGGGTTGGAATCTGTTACTTTCATTATTTCGATGCTCAGATTGTCCCGGATTAGGCCTATGGAAACCCCTTTGAGTAGACTTTATGCACTTTTGACATGTTCCCTTCATTCTTTGAAGACCTCCTTGCTTTCTGGCACAAGATATTCCAGGTTTATCTTCTACTTTTCCATCCTCAGCTCTGGAATCAGTCATTTCATTGAGGAGCCTTCCTGTTGGAGGTTAGGGTTTAGAAACCAGAATCTGGATCCTACGTGTGCTCATTAGTATTGAGATGTCATTACTTCTAGGCCTTTTTTCAGGCAGAGATAGAAAATGTATGTATATGTGTTTGTATACATAGGCATCCCCTTACAGACACACACAATCTATATTTCTATAGTGTCTATTTATATATCTGTATATTAAAACCGTGAATCTATAATGATGCATCAAATTTTAGTCTGACACCCACAGGGCTCATTTTAACTTTCCTTCTTCATTTGTGACTCCATTCTCTGATAGTGACAAACAAGCCTGGCTCCCATTACCCATAATACTTTGGTTCTTTTTGTTTTGAGTCTGAGAATATATAATCAGAATGCTGTATTTAAGAAGTACTCCAGTTCTTTTATTTCCCCCCTTTGTATGGTTATATTATTTATTTGAAATACAGTTAGGTTATTTGTTTCTCTTTGAATTCCATTTTAGGCTTTTCCTTCACTTAGCCCTCCCCTGCCCACAATTTTGTTGACTTTATTTACTTGTATGTGAAAAACTAATTTGGTTCTTAACATCAGAACTATACAAAAATATATATTCAGGAAGTATGACTTTTTGCTCATCACCCTTCCTGTTTTCCACCCTCTTCTTAATTCCCATACTTAACATCTCATTCCCCGTCACCCTGTACATAGCTGTCCTCAATGGTTTTCAGTTTATCTTTCTTACATTTCTTACTGATGAAAAGATATGTATTATTATTATTATTTTTTTTTAAGGCAGAGTCTCACTCTGTCGCCAGGCGCCAGGCTGGAGTGCAGTGGCGCAATCTCGGCTCACTGCAGTCTCTGCCTCCTGGGTTCAAGCAATTCTCCTGCCTCAGCCTCCTGAGTAGCTGGGACTACAGGCCTGCGCCACCACGCCTAGCTAATTAATGTATTTTTTAGTAGAGAAAGGATTTCACCATGTTGGTCAGACTGGTCTTGATCTCTTGACCTTCTGATCCACCTGCCTCGGCCTCCCAAAGTATTGGGATTACAGGTGTGAGCCACCGCGCCTGGCCAATATGTATATTTTTAATTCTTTTTCTTTCTTCGTAAGGTAGCGTACCATACTCTTTTTTTTTGCTGTTTGCTTTTTTTCACTTAACAATGTAGCTTGGGACAAAAACAAAACAAGAACACCAATACAGTATGAAAATTACTCCTTATCAGTTCAGAGAGATTTTTCTTTTTCTGATAGTTTCCTATTATAATACCACACTGTGGAAAAAGTGCCATTTTTTTTTTTCAAATATTCTACATTCAGAGCATGTATTTTGCAATTACAAATAATGCTGTAATTAATAGCTTTTTGCGTGTAGATTTATGTATTGTTATGGATATATCTTCAGGGTACATTTCTGGTAGTGGAATTGCTTTATCAAAAGGTAAATGCATATGTAATTTTATTAGAGATGGCCCATTTTCACTCCAACAGGGATAGACCAGTTTGTTTTCCCACCAATATAGGAGAGTACCTGTTTTCACATAGCCTCACCAATAAAAAGTATTACACTTTTTTTGTTTTTACCTTTTTTTCTGGCGGTAGAAAAATGATATTTCAGTGTATTTTTAATTTTGCTCCCCTCCTCTCATGATTTTTCATTTTATCTTTTTTTTTTTTTTTCCTTATGAGTGTAATTGACCATTTTCTTAACTTGAGGGCCATACAAATCCAGACTGCAGACGACTTCACCTTTGGGCCATTGCTGACCCCTAGGTTGAGCCCATTATTTTGCATTTGCTTTTTTTTTCTCTGAATTCCATTTTAGTGTCTGTTCTTTTTCTTTGCTTGACCTTCTTTTGAGCCACTTTCTCTTTGACCTTTTTTTACTTCTTTATCTCGTGTTTATTCTCTTGGCTGTTTTCTGCTTTTTTCAGTATCCGTTATTGTATTTTCATTTGAGATTATTCTTTGTTAGTCATCCTGTAATTTAGAATTTCTTTTTTTCTCTTTCTATTTCTTTTCTAACATTATTCCTCTTTTTATTTCTATTGCTTGTTCATCTGTTTTTAACTTTTAATTTCCCTTTTTATTTCCTAATGCTTGTTTGAGGATAATGTAATTGAGTTTCGAGTGCTACATTACAGTTTTCTTCAGATTCATATCTGTTTCTTGGGAGTAGAGGCAGATTTTCATATACTTAGGTGTTTTCATTTTATTTGCTGTGTTTTCATCTCACAGTTATTACTTTGTATGCTAGTAATTTCTTGGAGCTTTTTTTTTTTTTCTTACAAGAATTCCTAGTTTAAGGTTGCTCTCCTTTCATTGTAACAAAGTATATGCTTTCTTTAATGGGTGGCTTTTTTTAGTAACTGGGGTTGTTCTATGATCTTTCTGGCAGGGAAAAGATTCTCTTTTGTTTCTCAGGTATCTAAATTTTGTTCTTTTGAGTTTTCCTTTATCACTTGATTTTCAAAGGGCTTCTCCTTTCTTTTTAAACTTTATTTACCAAAATTTATACCCTTTGACCTCTGCCACCTTGACTTTTCTTTTAAGTCCCTTCTGCATGGTCAGTGCTGTGTTTACCAGGCCTCTTTCATAACAGGCTGTCCTCATTTTGCATGATAGTGCCAAACTATAATGATAACCACACAAGCTAAAATGATACAAAGTGATTTTAATCATCAGTGGGAAAAATTATGATTGTTTTGTGGCTTTTAAAATTTTTGCCAAAACATTGTAAACTCTTCCTGTCAGTTACAAACGTATAACATTTTAAAGATTAAAATCAGTATATAGTATGCTATAATTTAAAACATTAGAAATAATGAGAATATTGCCTTCTCATGTAAGTTTTAAGATGAATTATTTTTTCTCTGTCTTGGCGAATGATCATAATCTGAGTTTCTGTCAACTTTCAACATTGTATGTTTTATGTTTTCAGTGTTGTGCAATATCTCTGATAATTCCTTTTATGTGAAGTTTTTTTGCCAGGAGCAATTCCCTAGAACATCTTCATCTTTTTATCACAACCCCTTCCCTTGCTTATAGATGTTTCACCTTCACTTAGTTTTTCTGACTATATACCTAAGAGTCTCAAACAGCAATATTGTCAGCATTCCCATAATAGCTCTTTCTTCTATAACTCTGATTTTAATTTCACACCCAGTATTATGCTTTTTATTTCCTTACTGCATGTTCATCTTTGTTGGCCAAGCCCCTCTTTTTGAAACGTGGGTTTATCACTGAGAGACAAAGAGGCAACACAACCACACTCTACTATCTGTGTGTGAACTGAGTAATGTAAAATGACCAATTCCTAACCTTTGAGAAAGGTGGTATGATTGGTCAATGATGGCGAGGCACATATATTTTATTTATGTAGTGATTTGCAGACTGAAGAGCTTTTACAATCACAGTTAATACTCTGCTTTGGTTACTGAAATTTGAATCATGTTGTTGTGTTATTTAGCTAAACCATGGTAACTGGAATGTGTGCCTAAGATAATCATACAAAGTGAGAACTGCCTTTATTTCTCATATTTAGGGTGGACTTTCTCTTTTAGGCAGTGATTTTAGATCAGTCTTGGACCTACCATTAGCTTCCCTCCTCTCATGTTTTTTCATAGTTCACTCTTGCTGTCTGCAAAGGGGTATCAGAGATGCACTAGATGGCTTGCTGGGATTTGATGTTTCTTTTTCCGTAGACAGGTAATCTGAAGCTTGAGTGTGTCTTCTTGCTTTGCTAAGTTTAAATTTTCAAAGTTTTATTGTTCTTCTGTTTTGATTTTGGAGTGTGTGTGGGGAGATTCAAATAATGGTGCCCAATAATGGCTACCATTATGCTCAGTGACCCCAAACTGCCTCAGAATAGACTTGTTTCATGTTTATAATGTTCTATCAGTTATCAGTGGGAAATCCTTACATTTTCCTGTAACTCATATATACTTGGAATGGGAAAGGAATAAGATTTATAGTTTTTTATTGAGTAGAGATTGAATATGTAGATAACTTTGAACAATCTATTCTCAGAATGTGCCTAGTGTATGAATTTAGTGATTTAGTTTGGTGAATAAGAAGACAAAAATCAGGTACTTAAAAATGCCTAATTCTACTTGTCCATGGGGAAAAATGCACATTTTGGAAGATATAAAGGAGAAATAAAATTAGAAGAAACCAAAAAAACTTAGTGCAATGGCAACTTATTTATTCATTTATTAATATCATTATTATTTCCCTATTAAACTGAATGATGTTTTTCTTTTTCAGTCCTATGACAATGGACTGGCACAGGGAGCTGGACTTGAATCTCATGGTAAGACATCTTAAATAAGTGAACCTGTAGTTTCTTTTGTTCCCTTAGACAACATCTTGGTGTCTTCAGTATGGAGAACCTCAAAAGATTTTCTGAACCCTTGGTGCGGCCTAATTATCTTCTTTGTCACTTTCCTGCTTCTCTTTTGACACCATATGATCTACTTGAAGCTTCTTTGGTCAGTAATAATTCTGATATTATTTAGGCTGGGATGTTCATATGATATTTTCTAGTAACCTATTCAAGTGTTAGCTGTATGAAAATTTCTTGGGATTGTTTCTTATGCTATTGTTAGAAAACAACAGGTTTTCTTTTTTGGTGTAACTCTAAAAGGCTAGACCAAATACAGACTATTAAACATGAATGAACAAGTTCATGAAGAAATGAAAATTCTTATTTACCTTCCTTAATAAAGTTATTCTTAGTCATGGTCATGAAACATTTTGCTGCTCAGTGCAAACATTAATACAGCTTTTTCTTTCATGTTTTTTTCTTTTCAACTTGTGGCAGAACCAGAATAATGATGTGATAGTCACTAAGTTTGTTAGCACATCAATAGCCTAAATTCTCTCAAGTTGAAATTTCCATTGGGAAATAAATAAGCTTCCATTCTTCTTTTCTAAAAAGAAAGAGGCCGGGTCATGGAGCCTCTCTGAGTGAATGTCAGTTTCCTCCTCATCACAGCAGTTGTCTGTATGATTATTTGTTATCTCCATCCCTTTGCTAGCATAATGGAGCAGAAAGAACAGATCAATGTTCTAGTCTCAGCCCTGACACCAACTGAGTGACCTTGGCTCCTCATCTAATTTCTCTGAGGGTTTCCTCGTCAACAGAGTAGTAAGAATTGCATCTTTCTCAGTATTGTTGTTAGGATTATAAGAGATACGGGAGAAGATGGATTTTATAAAATCTGTATAAAAGGATTGGAAATTATAAAATCTTATAAAAAGATATTTTTAACAAATATTTCTTAACCCCATAGCCTTGTATATACTCAGGGATTTTGTCCTATCACGTATTTCCTCCTCTTCTCACCTCTTCACTCCCTCCTTCAATATAGGTAGTTGTAGAGTATGTGTTTCTAAGAGGTATATAGAACACTTCCATGGCATTTCCTCTGAAGCCATACCATAATTGTGACACCATAATTTTTGTGTGTGCATGAGTCTCTATGAGATGGAGGTTGGGAGGAGCTAATAGTAACAATTATGTTACTAGTCATTGCCAGATGATCAAGAGGGATATAGTTATAGTTGCACACAGAGGAAATCAGGCAACTCTGAGTATTTCTGAGAAGACAGGATCTGGTGTTCACTATTGTAGGTGGTGTTAATGTGCACCCTGGCTGAGGAGTCCCCTCACCTGCCTAGGAGACCTGTGAGACAGCTGATATTATTTCACATTGGGATTATATTCTCTGGAATATTAAACAAGGGTGCTGCCCAAACATGACACTGTCTAATGGGTCCTGTCAGGAAAAAAAATCTTCCTGAGTTATGCAAGTCATGATTTTGAGTTGGTATGATTTGAATATGTCGTACCCATCAGGATCATCAGTGATGGACTGTAGTTCATGCCCAAAAACTTACATCTTCCTTCTGTGTGTAAATTTGGCTTGGTAGGTTTGAGGCCTAAAACTCTAGAGGAAGGCCTTTTAATCAGAGTGTCACAGTGTACTTGCATACTTTAAATAGCTTATTATACCAAATGTAGCCCTTTCAGTCTTTGGAGCAACCAAGCAGGACCTGGGTATCTGGAATCCCTGGTAAGGTTGTCTCTGGCCAGGAGCATCCTCCTCAGTATTACAGTATGGCCTACAAATACCAAATATAATTTTCTTTGTGTGCTGTGAGGTTAGCTAGGAAGTACTATCCTAAAGGATTTTGGTTTTGTTTTCTTTCTCCTTCTCATCACTACACTAGAAAGCGAAACCTCTTTCTAAAAAGTAGCCCTGCAATTTGGCCACCTCATCAAGTCATTGTGTTCTCTCATTTTCTTTTTATTGTTACTGTCCTTGGAAAAGTGGTCCAAATGTACTATTCACCTTTCTTCACAGATGACTTGTTCTGTAATTCTCTGTGTAAGCCTTCAGCAACTTACAGAGTTTGTCTTTGAAAGTCATGAGTATTTCAAATCCAATGTCTTTTTCTCATTCCTCATATTTATTGAAGCATTTGAGCTATTAACCTTCCCACATCACATTCCACTTGTCCTAATTCCTCATGAATTAGTACTGGTTCCTTCACCATCTTTGTTTCTTCCTCTCATTTCAGCTTTCTTCTTTTCTTTGGATTATTCTTCCTAAATCTCAAGGCTTTTGTACATGCTGTTTCTTGTACATAGAATCTTCCTCCCTCATCCTCCACCTGCAGCATACACCTGATTTTCTTTCACATTCTTCAGATCTTGGTTCAAGCTCCCTGTTTAAAATTGCAAACCACCCAGAAACACACCCAGTGTTTATAGTAGAATTGCAAACCAACTACACATACACATCCCATTCTCTAACCCCCTTTCTGGATTTATTTTTCTCCATATCACTTACTATTTTATAAATGACCTATGTTTTATCTATTTGTTTATTGTCTGCTTCTCATGTAAACCTCATGAGAAGAGAAATTTTTGCCTCTGTTACCCACTGATATATTCCCTATACCTGTAACATGCTTGACACATAGTTGAACAAACAGATGGTTCTTTATTAATTATCTCTCTGTTGATGGTACCCAAAACAGTGTTTCCCCACCTGTACTGTTGATTCTGTGCTCTCTAGCCCCCTTCCCATTTGTTAGTCAAGGGTTTTTTCTCAATACAACTTCAGTATCTCAAACTACATATTTTTAAAACCATCATTCTCCTCTTCTCTTCCTCCGGAGCCTGTTCTTGCTATTCAGAAATGACAGATTTATTGACTTTTTTTTTTTTTGGTTGTGGGAAGCCAGCAATCCAGAATTTTGAGTTTAATTTTAACCTCCTTTTCTGTTTTTAATTTGCCATTTACACCAGTTGTCCTCCATAAATTACCAATTTATAATCCCTGATCTGCAGACTAAAAGGAAAATAATGTATTTATTAACCAGCTGCTGTGTGCCTCCTACCATCTGATACTTTACATACAGTCTCATTGAATCCTCATATCAACCTCTGAGAATATATATTTTTGTATTAGTCAGAACTCAGAGAAGTAAAACCACTATGAGTGTTAAAAGAATAAAGGCTGTGATAGAAATATGATTTTATAAGTAACTGTGGAGGAAGATGGAGAAGAACCTAAAAGGAATAGTTGGGGGGTTGGGGAAAAATCAGTGACAGGCCTCCTGAAGCAGTGGCACAGGTAGACAAGTCAGGCCGTACAGGGAAATCTAAAGGCCAGGCACAGTCATCTGCCAGACTGTGACTGTGGAGAAGTCTGTGAAGGGCTGGTACTCCTGCATCTCTTTGTGGACCTGAGGTAAGCAGGGCAAGAGTACGAAGAATTTGGATGCCAAGTATATGGGAGAATGAGGCAAGCTGGACTCTAAGAGCACCATTGCATTTGTTGCTTACCTCCTCTAACCATAACCAGGGTAATGAGTGCTACTAGACTTCCACCTTACAAGTCTCACACAGATTTCTCTAACTTTTGACCATACAGGGAGGGGGATCCTGGGAAACAGAATTCTAGCTTAGCCAAGTTGACACAGTACAAAGCCACAATAATTATTGTCATTTCACTCAGAGAAGTCACTTGCTTAGTAGGCTCACATATCAGGTAAGTGTCATAACTCACTTTAAAACTCTGTGCTTGTTCAATAATCCCATTCTGCCTATCTAATTTATTTTTCTATAATCTGATTCCAGTCTAGCTTTGTAGACTCATATCTGAGTCATCTCTTCCATGCAGTCTAGGTTATAAGAAAACATACTCTCCAAAGAGTTGTACATGGCTTTTCACCTCTGGACGTTGCTAATGCGCCTTTTGCTTTGCTTGAAATGCTTCCTTTCCACCTGCTTCTGCTTGTTTCTCTTTCCATAACCATCAAAGTTTATCTTTCTATACCTGGTTCCAGGGGTTCCATTGTCACCTTCTCCGTAAAACATTTCATCATCTTACGGTTCTCTCTAGTTCTAAGCAATATTTCCCTTTTCTGTATTCCCATATTACTTCATTAATGTCATTTTTATGGTACTTACCTCTTTATCTTCTTTGCTGGGTTGTAAGCTGGTCATGTCATATTCATGTCTTATTTCATTTGCCCTTGTACACTGTAGTATTTGATGAATTAGTTATCCTGTGTTCCACTTTGCATCTCTTGCCTAGAAAGTTGAATTTAGAATGTGTAATTCTGCTACAGTTTGTTTTTAATTTAGTTTCTTCATGCAGCTTTCTCATTCCCCAACTTAAATATTATTTTATATTAATAATATGTGTGTGTGTGTGTGTGTGTGTGTGTGTGTGTGTATATATATATATTTTTTTTTAATTCAGCTGCTCTCCTCCAAGTGTTACTTAGCTTGGAGCCCATATTTCATGAAAACTAAACAGACATATTTTAGCTTTTTAGGCCATGATCATCAAATGTAGTGATTGTCTTTATCTCCATGATTCCCTTAAGAAAGTACGTGTTGAGTGTCTCTTATCTGAAATAATTGGGACCAGAGGTGTTTTGGATTATAGAATATTTGCATTATGCTTACCAATTAAGCTTCCCTAATCCAGAAATCAGAAATTTGAAATGTTGCAATGAACATTTCCTTTGAGTGTCATGTAGGTGCTTAAAAAATTTCAGATTTGGGAGCATTTCAGATTTCAGAATTTTGGATTAGGGATACTCATCTTGTACAGTTTTAGGGTAAAATGTTCCTGTGTTTTGGAAGAACAGGATTTTCCTACTTCGTTAGAGATAAAATTATTCTCTCCCTCACAACTCAGGATTCATAGTACAGAAGTTCCAATGAATTAATTTGGTTCCATGATTCTTTTAAAATATCTACTTCTTAATTATGAAGATAAATGTTAAGTATAAATATTCAACTCCCTTGAATTTACTTCGCTTGGCTGGGCATGGTGGCTCACGCCTGTAATCCAAACATTTTGGGAGGCCTATGTGAGTGGATCACTTGAGGTCAGGAGTTCAGGAGCAGCCTGGCCAACATAGTGAAACCCTATCTCTGCTTTAAAAAAAAAAAAAAGAAAGAAAAAGGCCAAATGTGGTGGCATACGCCTGTAATCCTAGCTACTCAGGAGGCTAAGGCACAAGAATTGTTTGAACCTGGGTGGCAGAGGTTGCAGTGAGTTGAGATCATGCCACTTCACTCCAGCCTTGGTGATAGAGCAAGACTCTGTCCCCCCCAGCCTCCCACAAAAAAAAAATTTACTTTACCATTTTAATGTGGTGTTTAACTGTAAAATGATGTACTTATTTATGTACCTATTTATTTAATTTTCTACTTTAGCTATATGATTGTTGACTGCCTTAAATTTCAGAGGACCTGGATTCTTTCTGATAACTTAGTATATACAAGTACTAAGAGAATGTTTAAAACTGAACTGTAAAACCTTGTTAGAACAATAAGTTGTAACTGTTACACTGTTAAAATATAAGTAGATCATAACATAAAAGAGCTGAAGTCAGGAATGCCTCCTTTACCCTGCACCTGGAGGAACTGGGGTAGGTTAAGAGAGAATCTCTGTGATCCCTTCCATCTGTGATGTTTTATGACTGAGGTATTCTGCATTGCTCATTCCTCATAAAACTGAAGTACATCACTTAGGTGGCAAACTTTTAACCATTTCGGATGAAAATCTTTCTTCTTATTCTCTTATTTGTATTTGCCTTAATATTCTTACTGCTATCCTTAAAGTTTTGTTTCTACTGTCTTCAACTAAGGCAAAATGAACACAGTTTAACCTTTTATTCTTGATGAATTCAGATCATTATAATGAGGAACAATTCTAGTATTGTACCTTTAGTAATATAATATTCTTGAAGTATTTTGAAGTGTGTATAGATCATTGATCTAACCCTATTTAGCCCCAAAAAGATACTCTATTTTAGACCTTGTGCCTGTTTTTAGATAGTATTTCATAATGTACTTTTCATCAAGATGTCACTTTTCTTGTTTTTACACCTGCCTTTAACACCCTTCTAACATACTGCTGCTTTTTTTTTTTTTTTTTTTTTGAGACATGATCTTGCTGTGTTGCCCAGACTAGGGTGCCATCAAGTGATCCTTCTACCTCCGCCTTCCAAGTTGCTAGGACCACAGGTGGACACCACCACGCCTGGCTAATTTTTTAAAATATTTTTTGTAGAGATAAGGTCTCCTTTATGTTGCCCAGGCTGGTCTCAGATTCCTGGGCTTATAAGCAGTTCTCTCACCTTGGCCTCCCAAAATGGTTGGATTACAGGCATGAGCTACCATGGCCAGCCTAACATACTACTTTTTATTAAGGATTTTAGAACTAGTTTTTTAGAGATTTGTATAAAACAAGAGACTTTAGGACTTTAGGCTTAACCTATTCATAAATGAATGTTAGTTTAAAGCATAGACTTTGTAAATGTTTCTGGCTACCCAGAGTTCACACTTGCTTCTGGAGTTGTTATTTTCAAAAACCAATAGTTTGGACAAAGTAAAGAGTATTTTTACTTTGAATTGTGCCAATTTGCTTTATATTTAATGATGTAATAAGACTTGAAGTCATGGCCCAGTTATCATGAAAGAAAAATGGAAAGTAATTGAGTCATTTGAAAAGGAAATAAGATTAATAGTTGCTTAATAGAAGTTATTCTAAAAGGTTGTAATATATATATATTGTTTTACTTTTCATTTGGTTCATCACTAGCATAGATGTCTCAACTAATTCTGAAGTTTAAAAAGTTCTTAACTGTCAGTAACACTTCTAATATGACAGCTACCTTGAGTTTTCTAGAGGGAATGCTGACCTTTTCTTTGCCAGAGAATACATTTAAGATTTGTAACACCAAAAGAAAAGTTAAGGCATGAGATATATTAGGAACAGATATTTAAATTGCTGAAATGAATAAAAATCGCTATGTGAAGTCATAATAAATTGGAAATATAAGTATTTTCAATTTTTTTGGAGTTGACAACAAATAATGCCAGTAAAAAGTGTTGTTTCTTTTCTTATATGGAAAAATACTGACTTTTCATTTCCTTAGGAAAGTAATTGCCTTTGTGAGTATATTTGTTTTGTTTTGTTTTGTTTTGTTTTGTTTTGAGACAGAGTCTTGTTTTATTTCCCAGACTGGAGTGCAGTGGTGCACTCTCTGGAGTGCAGTGGCTCATGGAGTGCAGTGCTGCCATCTTGGCTCATGGAGTGCAGTGGTGCAATCTTGGCTCACTGTAACCTTTGCCTCCCAGGTTCAAGTGATTCTCCTGCCTCAGCCTCCTGAGTAGCTGGGATTCCAGGATTCCAGGCATGTGCCGCCATGCCTGGCTAATTTATTTATTTATTTATTTTTGGTTTTGGTTTTTGTTTTTTGTAGAGATGGGGTTTCACCATGTTGGTCAGGCTGGTCTCAAGCTCCTGACCTCGTGATCCACCCGCCTAGGACTCCCAAAGTGCTGGGATTACAGGTGTGAGCCACCGCACCCAGTCCAGTGTATCAGTTTTCTATCGCTGCTGTAGCATTCTAGCACAAATAGAGTAAAGCAATACAGATTTATTTTCTCCATTTCTGGCCAGAACTGTACATCTGTGACTCAGTCTGAACTGAGGTTTACAGGGCTAAAATCAAGATGTCAACTGGGCTGGCTCCTTTCTCCAACAGTGGCTCCAGGGAACAATATGTTTGTTGTCTCTTCCCAGCTTCTAATGGCTGCTGACATTCCTTGCCTTTGGCTACAACACTCAGATCTCTGCCACCATAGTTACATTGCCACCTCCTCTCTGTTAATCTGCTCTCCTTCTCTCTTCTTATAATGACACTTGTGAGCATAGTTAGAGCCCACCCAGATAAACAGAGTAATCTCTGCATTTCAAGATCGTTTAACTTACTCAAATTTGCAACGCTTTTTTTTCCATATGAAGTAACATTCACAGGTTCCAGGGATTAGGACTTAAATATTGGGGGAGGCATTATTCAGCCTACCACAGTGGGTATGGATATGTTTGGAAGTCATGCTGTGCATCTGCTTTCGTATTTGGTTTCCCTCTTTCCTACTGCCCCCACCCGCCACTTCACCCACTGCTTTATTCTTTTCTTCCTTAAAATTCTTAAGCTGACTAGTTGTAATATCTGCTTATCAGCTTCTAACTTGTTTATGTTATTTGTGAAAACTTGTCTATTGTAGCTTAGGGCTGACAGAACCTCAGTTCATAAGGTGACTGGGTCCTGGACAGGGAGTTAGTAGTCCCAGATTTTAGTTCCAAATCTGCCATTAACCATGTAATTTTAAACAAGTTCCTTAATCTTATTCCAAGTCTTACTTTTTTTATAAGTAAAATGTTTCTTAGAGCTTTATATTATCCTCTGTTTTATCCAGTTAATATTGAAGACTTGTTATAGTGGTTATTTTAAAGTCTCATCTTTTAAATTTTACTGTTTTCTAGAATTTATAACCACTTTTTTTCACTCGACTGTTTTGTAGTTTTTTCATAAGTGTCAATTTGAACTTTAAAACATTGTGTGATTTTGATTAACAGGAGGATCTACTTTTTGTGGCATTGCCTCACTATGTCTGATGGGTAAACTAGAAGAAGTTTTTTCAGAAAAAGAATTGAACAGGATAAAGAGGTGGTGTATAATGAGGCAACAAAATGGTTATCATGGAAGACCTAATAAGCCTGTAGACACCTGTTACTCTTTTTGGGTGGGAGCAACTCTAAAGGTAAGAGAAATAATAAAAATGAGAAACCTACCTTTTGTGTTCATATATATTGTGCTAAAAAGGTTTGATCTTTGTAATGTGTATTAAATATAAATATTGTTAGGTTTAAGCTACTGAGTTTTTTCTTTGCTCTGCCAAAGCTAGTCTCTACAGTTCTTCCATAGAATTCCATTATCTCTTGTGCTGCTTGAAGTTTCATTTTTAGAAAACAAAGTAATCCAGAACTTGAGTTTTATGCCTACTTAAACCTAACATAGAACATATTAAATACTTACTTTCTTTTTTTTTTTTTTTTTTGAGACGGAGTTTTGCTCTTGTTACCCAGGCTGGAGTGCAATGGTGCGATCTCGGCTCACCGCAACCTCCGCCTCCTGGGCTCAGGTAATTCTCCTGTCTCAGCCTCCTAAGTCGCTGGGATTACAGGCATGCGCCACCACGCCCAGCTAGTTTTTTGCATATTTAGTGGAGACGGGGTTTCACCATGTTGACCAGGATGGTCTCGATCTCTCGACCTCGTGATCCACCCGCCTCGGCCTCCCAAAGTGCTGGGATTACAGGCTTGAGCCACCGCGCCCGGCCTTAAATACTTTCTTTCTTGTAGGTATAAGGTAATAAAAAACTTGTAACTGAAACTGACTATATAAATCAAGGACCTGTCTCAAAATGATAGCAGTAAAGATAATATGGGAAGGTATTAATCTTAAAAAACAAACGGTCATTCCTTCAAAAGGTTATTTAGTCACTAAATACAAGTTTTTTTCTTTTTTCTTTTTTTTTTTTTTTTTTTGAGACGGAGTTTCGCTCTTGTTACCCAGGCTGGAGTGCCATGGTGCAATCTCGGCTCACCACAACCTCCGCCTCCTGGGTTCAGGCAATTCTCCTGCCTTAGCCTCTTGAGTAGCTGGGATTACAGGCACGTGCCACCATGTCCAGCTAATTTTTTTTTTGTATTATTAGTAGAGACGGGGTTTCACCATTTTGACCAGGGTGGTCTCGATCTCTTGACCTCGTGATCCACCCGTCTCATCTCCCAAAGTGCTAGGATTACAGGCTTGAGCCACCGCGCTCGGCCAATACAAGTTTTTTTCTATCTTAAAGTTGCCTTTTCACTTTTAAGAATTGTCTCTTTGTTCTGATATTCTAGAATCTAACAAGAGTCTGTGTTCATCTTCTCTGTAATACCCTCATTTTTTCTCTTAAAATTCACGTATAAGGTTGAAAAAAAATTGGAAAAAAATGATTTGAAATAATGACAGTAGCCTCCGTCTCTCCTCACTTGTACCATTTCCCAGGTGCATCATTTTATTATTATTTTTTTTGACAGTGGGAAATTTCAAGCATATTCAAAAATAGGCAGAATGGTGTGATGAACCCCCATGTGTCCATCAGCCATTCTCAACAATTATCAACCCAAAGCTTTCCTTCCATTCACTGAATTATTTTAAATCAGAGCTCAGATATCATTTTTATATTCTCTGGAAACTTTGTAATATAACCTCTAAATGAAAATAACTTTTTATCAAAACAGAACCTTAGTGTCATTATCACATCTTAAAAAACAGCCATGATTGCTTATTATCATTAAATATCCAGTGATGATATATATTTCCTGTTGCATCACATCAAGAGGCTTGTAATATCCAATTGGCTCTCCTTTTAATCAAAGATCTCCAGAGTTGAAAATATACATAGCATATTATACTCATCAGTTTAAACATTTGTAAGTGTACAGTTCACTCGCATTAATTACATTTACAATGTTGTGTAATTGTCACCACCATACAAAACTTTTTCATTATATTTAACATAAATCCTGTACACATTAAACAGTAATTTTCTATTCTTCTTTCCCCTCAGCCTGGTAACCTCTCCTTTACTCTCTGCCACTATGAATTTGTCTATTCTAGGTACCTCCTATAGGTAAAATCATACAATGTTTGTCCTTCTGTTTCTGGCTTATTTCACTTAGCATAATGGTTTCAGGATTTATTTATGTCATACTGCATATCAAAATTTCATTTTTTAATAGCTGAATAATATTCCATTGTATATAAATAACACATTTTCCGTCTTCATTTATCTGTTGATGATCTCTTGAGTTGTTTTCACTTTTTGGCTGCTGTGAGTAATACTGCTGGAAACATGGTTGTATAAGTATATGTTCAAGTCACTGCTTTCATTTTTGAGGGGTACTATATATATGTAGGAGTAGAATTGCTGAGTCATATGGTAGTTCTTCATTTAACTTTTTGAGGAAATGACAAACGTTTCCACAGCACCTACAACATTTTATATTCCCTCTAAGCAGTGTATGAGATTTCCAATTTCTCTGCATCCTCACCAACATTTGTTTTTTCAGTTTGCTTTATATATATGTATATAAAATAGCCATCTTAATTGGTTTGAAGTGTCATTTCATTGTGGTTTTGATTTGTGTTTTTCTAATGATATAGAGTGTCTTTTTATGTACTTACTGGTCATTTGTATGTCTTATTTGGAGAAATGTCTGTTCAAGGCCTTTCCCTACTTTTAAATCTGGTTTCTTTTGTAGTTATGAAATTGTGGGAGTTCTTCATATATTCTGGATATTAATCCTTATTAGATATATGATTCGTAAATATTTTCTCTTATTCCTTGAGTTGCCTTTTCACTCTGTTGATGGTGTCCTTTAATGCACAAAAGTTTTTTGATGCAGTCCAGTTTTATCAAAAGTTTTCTTTTATTGCTTGTGTTATTGGTGTCATGTCCATAAAATTATTCCTAAATCTAGTGTCATCAAGATTTTCCTCTGTGTTTTCTTCTAAGAGTTTTATGGTTTTAGGCCTTAAGGTTAGGTCTTTCATCAGTTTGTTTCTGTATGTGATGTAAGTTAAGCTCCTACCTCATTCTTTGACATGTGGATATCTAATTTTCTTAACACCATTTTTTGAAAAGATTGTCCTTTTCCATTAAATGGTTTTGGCACTCTGGTTGAAAATCAGTTGACCATGTATGCGAGCTTTGTTTCTGGACTTCCTATTTTATTCCATTGTTCTATATGACTGTCATTGTGCCAGTAATATACTGTTTTAATTATTGTAGCTTTGTAGTAAGTTTCAAAGTCAAGAAGTTTGAAACTTCCAGCTTTTCTTTTTTAAGATTGTTTTGGCTATTTGAAGCCCTCTGCAATTTGATATGAGTCTGGTAATTGACTTTCCCATTTCTGCAAAAAAGTCTTTTGAAATTATGATGGAAATTGCATTGAATCTGTAGATCACTTTGGGTAGTAGTGATATCATAACACAGTTGAGTGTTCCTATCTATCCATGAGCACAAGATGCTTTTCCATTTGTACAGGTTGTCTTCAATTTGCTTTCAGCAGTGTTTTGTAGTTTTCGTCATACAAGTCTTTCACCTTTTTGTTAAGATTTAATTCCAAGTATTTAATTATTTTAGATACTCCTGTAAATGTAATTGCTTTGTTAATTACCTTTTGGATTATTCGTTGCTATTCTATAGAAACTATCAACTTTTTATACAATGGTTTTAACAGGCATTAAGGATCATTGCTTAAATCAATTATGGCATTACGAGGTTACAAAACAGTGGTATTCTTTCATTCCTTCTCAGTTTATTAACTAGCATTCTTTTTAAAGAATAATTTTACCTTACCCTGAGATATACTTTGTACAGAGAAGGACAGATAAATACCAGATTCTTTCTCTTAATAGTGTTCAACAAAATGAGTTGGTTCCCTACCATCCCCTCAGTTTTTCTAATGAAATACTAGGTTTTAGAGTTTGAGAGTTTTTTTGAGAATCATTGTGAACACATAAATTTTAACAATTTTTTAGTCATATATATATGTGTATATGTGTGTGTATGTGTGTGTATGTATGTGTGTATGTTTTATGCTCAAATTGTCCCATCTTTAGACTATAGGAACCCTTTCAAGTTGTCCTAAGTCTTTTTGTTTTTTTAATTTCCCTATTGACACTGCTTTAAATGTGTTCCAGAGATCCAGGTCTTTTTTGTTTGACATCAGTAGTGTTTGACAACTTTCTGAAGGCCACCACTTTTAAACTTTTTAAAAAATGTTTTAATTCTCTTGGATGCCACCATAACTTTAAATCACAAACTGACTTCCTATCACCTTTAGACATTATCTGTGATTTCCAACTATGAGAAATTAAGATTTAGCCTCTCTCTTTTCCAATAATTTGTTACCCATTATATTTAGTTCTGAATCTTTTCCTTATCTTGTACCTTCCAATGCTATTTGGTTACCTTTATGTTTATAATGTTAAGTTAGGAAACATTCATATTTTTGTTCAGTAATAATAATCACATCTTTCAGGCTTTGCATATAGGTTGATTATAAAATTTGAAAACCAGTAATCAACACTTATTATGATAGTGCAAATATTGTTTATTGCTAAGCCAAGTGCAGTGTTAAGATTATCATTTCATCGTTTTTATACAATGACCAGTTTGCCACTTGATGGAAATTGTTTCTAACGTCAAGATTCTAGAAAGGTCCTTTTCCTTATATTCTATTAATTAAATCAATGTTAATGAATAAATTTGTTTCTTGTTTGTACCATAACTTTCTTATGGGTTTAGCTTTTGTTTTTGAGAAATAATGCTTTTTCATCAATCACTAAAAGCTGTGGCTCTCTCCGATTGATTAACATACATTAAATTGCTTTGTTTCTTTAGACATTTCTTGAACCCTCTTCTCTACTGCATACTTCATCTTGAACTTCACAGTTTTATTTACCTGTCTGTGTTTTACTTTTATGGGATCTTGAGAGAAAGAACAAGTATGTGTTCTAAATCATTTAAAACTATATACTTTTTTATGTTGCAATCGTTTTTGTCTTACCTTTTTCTTTCCTAAGTAAAGAGCTATAATTTTTTACTGTTTTCAAACTGTCTCTGGCATCTGGTTAGTCATTTTTGTTTGCTCTTTTTAAAAAATATTTTTAGTTCCAATTACTACTAGTTTATAACTAATACCTCAAGAGCTTATCATAAGAGTTAAAATATGGGTAGATGAATTTGTACTTTTTAAAATGACTGATTATATTGTGTGGATTGTAGTCTTTTGAATTTAGCTAAATGTGATTCAAAGGGTTCAGTTGGCCAGATTCAAAAGAAGGAAATAGAGGGTCGAGAGAAGGAGAGTAGATTTGATAAAAGAAAAAAGGTAAGGTAATTAACTCATTTCAAGTTCTCAAGGCCCCAGAGATTTTCTCTGAGCCCCTTAGCTAAAGAAAAGCATATCTAAATGACATATATCTGAAATTTGAACCAAAGGTTGATATAAGTTTTAGGTCAGTAAATTTTTACTTGTCATGTCATTGCAGCTTCTAAAAATTTTCCAATATACTAACTTTGAGAAAAATAGAAATTATATCTTATCAACTCAAGATCGCCTCGTAGGAGGATTTGCCAAGTGGCCAGACAGTCATCCAGGTAACTATTTTCTGTGTGAATCCAGAACAAACATTACTTCCTCTTCTAACATCTTTATCAGAAAAGGCATATGATGGAAAATATATCCACAGTTGCAAAGTTACATTAAATAATGTTTTTTAAAAGGTAGATTATGTAAGCTTAGGATAGATTTAAGGTGTTGGGGAGTATAAAGGAAAGAGTTTATTATCGAGATTCTTTGGTATATTGTGCATTTCTTCCCAAATATTTTACTTAGTAATGTTTTATTTCATTTGCAGCAGTACTGTAGATTGTCTGAATGGCTCCTTTCCAAAATAGAGGATTATTTAGCCCATCCAAAGTCATTACCATTATTAGTCATGACTTGAGCTAAGTAGAATAAATTACCCTCAATCCTGAAGGGAATCAGTTCTTAACTCTTTTCAGAAGTCATTAAATAGGCCAGGTGCAGTGGCTCACACCTGTAATCCCAACACTTCAGGAGACCGAGACAGGCTGATCACTTTAGGTCAGGGGTTCAAGACCAGCCTGGCCAACATGGTGAAACCCTGACTCTACTAAAAATACAAAAATACACTGACATTTTTGATAAGCAAGCAGTCAAATAATTAGTTAATGAATATGAAACTAGACACACACAAGGAGTAATCGTTTATGCCAGTATTGCAGTAGAGTCATGGTTTTTATTATCAGTCCAGAATGTACCTCATCAACTCATCTTCCATTGTAGAACTGCTATGGTTTGAATCTTTACTTGATTCAAAATATAAATGAACTCATGAGATCATATTTTTATATTTGAAATGAGCAGGAATATTCCCTTAACACCCATACGTGCCTATATTTTCATATAAAACATGCTTCCTACATCAGGTGCATTGGCTCACACCTTTAATCCCAACACTTTGGGAGGCTGAGGTGGGTGGATCACTTGAGGTCAAAAGTTTGAGACCAGCCTGACCAACATGGTGAAAACTGCCTCTACTAAAAATACAATAATTAGACAGGCTTGGTGGCAGGTGCCTGTAATCCCTGCTACTCAGGAGGCTGGGGCAGGAGAATCACTTGAACCTGGAAGGCAGAGGTTGCAGTGAGCCAAGATCATGCCACTGTACTCCAGCCTGGGCGATAGAGCAACAATCTGTCTCAAAAAATAAAATAAAAAGGCCAACACATTGACTCATGCCTGTAATACCAGCACTTTGGGAGGCTGAGGTGGGTGGGGATCACTTGAGGTCAGGAGTTCAAGACTAGCCTGGCCAACATGGCAAGACCCCATCTCTCAAAAAACCTCATAATACAAAAAATTAGCCAGGTATGGTGGCATATGCCTGTAGTCCCAGCTACTAGGGAGGCTGAGGCGGAAGAATCGCTTGAACCTGGGAGGTGGAGGTTGCAGTGAGCCAAGATCACACCATTGCACTCCAGCCTGGGTGACAGAGTGTGACTCTGTCTAAAAAAATAAACAAACAAACAAACATGCTTCCTTAGAAAAAGTGTACAGTGCTTTCAAAGTTGTAAGCCAAAGTGTGTTTTCAGAAGTTAATTTCTCAAGAAAAATAATATTTTGAAATTTTTGATATCTCTGGTGCCTCAAGAAAACAGAATTATTTGGTCTTGATCTCATTTTTTTCAATCAGTGCAGGTTACTGTTTTAACAAATAGTGGGAATAGGGAAATGACAGTCTCTTAGAAAACATTTCTTATATAAACATACTTGAAATACATTCAGTATTTCCAATAGCTTTTTTAAAACAAAATTCTTGAGGCTTTTTTCTAGAGAGATCAGTTGCTAACTTTAACATTTGTGTAAATATTTGGATGTACCACTTACTTACTTTTTATAGATACATGCACTGTTTTCAGAATATGCACTAGAAAACATAGAAAGTCTTTCATAAATTGAATTTATGTGTAAAGATCTGGTCCTAGAACCTTTATAATCAATTTACCAAGATTCTTTAAAATTAAGCTTATTCTTGGTTCTAGTAAATCTAGTAGCAAATTTGACACAAAGGATTTTATATACATTTATGAAACTTCAAAATAATTTATTATGGAGTAAATATATATTTCAACATCTAAAGTGCTTCATTATGGAGTAAACATCTATTTCCATATCTAAAGTGCTTGCACATTGCCACTTACGGATAAGGAGTCTTTAAAAAAAAAAAAAAAAAAAAAAACAATTTGAAGCTTGAAATAATTGAGTTCTGATCTCAATGGCTTTTACAAAATTCTTTTTGAGAAAAAAAAAATGTTTTATTTGTTAATTTATCCAGGGAGATTTTAGTTTTACACAGTTCTATTTTATGTTATTATGGATATATATCTTCTGTTGTACTTTTTCGTAGAAAAGTTTCCTAGTTTCTAGAAAACAAAGCTTACTGTTGCTTTGTACCCTTGGTAGTTTTAGAATAACTATACAGAATGATGTAATATTACAGGAGAAAACAAATTTATTTTTTATAGTCTGAAAGTCAAAGGAAAGTGAGCCAGAAGAAACCTAAGTATTTACTGAGAAGGTCTAAAAGGTGATCAACATGGGCCTCTATTAGTGAAATAATTCTTCACAATGGCATTGAGTAAGCACAACTAATTGTCATTTCTGTTTTGAAAAATAAATGATACTCTTGTAAGTAAAGCTTTTTCCTTAACACTTTTGGCATAGTTTGACTTGGTAAGATGTTTTGAACTTTTTATTGTTGTTGTTTTGAGACAGGGTCTCATTTTGTTGCCCAGGCTGGAGTGCAGTGATACAATCATTCCTCACTGCAGCCTGAACATCCCTAGGCTCAGGTGAGTCTCCCACATAGCCAGACCTACAGGCACACACCACCATACCTGGCTAGTTTTTGTATTTTTTGTAGAGATGGAGCTTCACCATATTGCCCAGGCTGGTATCGAACTCCTGTGGCTCAAGCAATATTCCCTCCTCAGCCTCCCAAAGTATTGGGACTACAGAGTGAGCCACCACACCTGGCCTGTTTTGAACTTTAATAGCTCTTAAGGCCATAAATATTGACCAGTTCAAAAATAGAAAAAAATTATTGACTGGTACAAAACTGTCTTTGTAGTGTTCCTATAACTGCAAAGCTCTGAGCTCTTCAGAAGTCTACGTAAGACTTCTAGGCAGGAATGGCCATGTGATTTCATTGGCCACTTTAATAGAAGAGGGTTCCTGTCCCCTGAAAGATGGGAAACTATGAGCCAGTGCAGAAGAATTGTCGTGATATGAGCACTCATATTATTTCAACCAAATAAAATGCGAGTTTGTTTTTATTGTCAGATCAGATATTTTTAGAATGACTGACATTACCTTAAATAGGAGGATTAAATATGGCATAGCATTCCAGAATGGATTATTTTTGCTTAAGCTCCTTTTATTTAACACAGTGTTAGAATAGTACTGTGTATGATTTAGGAACTTTCAGAGGTAAAACATGGAGGGAGGGGTATTGCAACTTAGATTCAGAATTTTGTTGTCATTTAAAAAAAATTTTTTTTAATGATATAGCACTGAAGCTACTCGTTTCCACGATCTCTACTAAGCAAAAAGGGAAACTCCCTAAAGTGACAAGTCTTATATATTACTGCTGCTTCTCCTGTTTTTTAATCACAGAAGTTATTGAAAATATCAGCTCCTCAGCTGAAAACTGTTTTCCTTTGTTAATGATATTTCCATGAATAAAATATTTTATTTTGATGATCTGGGTTTTTGGTTTTTTTTTTTTTTATAAATTGGTGTTTGTGACTTTGAGAAAGAAAATATTTTAAAAACTATATTAGCATTTCTCTAAACTTTTAATGGAGTGATGGGCTGGTACATATGTAGCTAAAATATTTTGAAGAATGTACAAGTAAGAATGCCTATTGTGATTTTTTAAATGCCTTCTTTTCAGATGCTTTGCATGCATACTTTGGGATCTGTGGCCTGTCACTAATGGAGGAAAGTGGAATTTGTAAAGTTCATCCTGCTCTGAATGTAAGCACACGGACTTCTGAACGCCTTCTAGATCTCCATCAAAGCTGGAAAACCAAGGACTCTAAACAATGCTCAGAGAATGTACATATCTCCACGTGACTGACTTTAAATTGGGAGGGTGGAGGGATTTGTAGCATAACTGTAGCTTAAGTTTAAAAGCCATGTATAACCAAGTGTGCTCTTTTTTTAAAAGGTAGAGTCTTACAATCAAATCTCCTGCTGATGTCACTTTGGGATATGGTGTTGAACCAGTAATATTTGTACTGGGTTTCAAGAAAATCTTTGTTGACATTTGAACCACAACTTTGTCGTGGTTCTTAAATGTTTATATTGTATTTCTAAGAAGTTGTTTGAGGCAAATTAACTGTATGTGCGTAGGTTATCTTTTTAAAAACTCTTCAGTGCGAATTGTATCTTACTATAAAATGGACGCAAATCTTCAAAACAAGTTTACACTTCATATAGCATTGATAATCTTCAGGTGAACGCTTAGTGATCATTTGAAAAGCTCACTGTTGATGGTAGAAAATTTGCTTTAATGAATTAAGTATCTGGGATTATTCTTTGAAAACAGATGACCATAATTTTTTTTAAAGAAGAGTGACTTACTTTGTCTTATTCTTAAGTAAAGTGTGCCAATTAAACCTGTGTGGCCTATATAAATGAAATTAATAACTAAATAGTAAGAATAAATAGGTTTAACTAATGTGATAGTTTTCTAAAGGGAGATTGTTTGAAGACAACTATTATATAACTGAGAGAAAAGCAACTTAACTGTATGTGATTGTGAATGAGAGTGTTGTGCTATGTGGGTCGTTTATTTAGACATTGCTGTGGTGAATACCAGTTATGTTTGATTTTATTCTCAAATCGTTAGTCTTTTTTTTTTTTTTTGCTTTCTGGGAAGAAAGCAATCTTTTTTTATATTGAAGGAAAGATACTTTGTGTTTTTATTTTTAGCCATTTGAGTTTTTTAAAATTTGTTGCCAGCAGTGTATTAGCTACTCTAATTTCAAACTAATACTTTTCTAATTTTTTTCTAAGTAAATAAGTAAAAAATTAAATACAAAAACAGAACCACTCAAATAGATTCAGTGGTTTAACTATACATGGTTATTACTTTCATATGTTCAGGTAAGTGAGAAGAAAATGTAACCATTTAGAGGGTAAGAAACTTGTTTTCTTAAGCTTATCAGCTAGCTAATTATAAAGGAGATCGTATAAAAACTCTTCATTAGTGATTTATCAATAAGTCACATCCATTATTTAGTGACATTCAGAACTATGAGCCTAGTACAGAAATGAGGAAAGAAATCTCTTCACTAAAGGAGTTGGGTTTAAGTTATCCTTGGTGATAATAAATGTTGAAATATTAGTGCTACAAGCATCAGTACAAAATCTAGATTGCTGGTATCACTGTTTAGGCATTGTAATATTTTAAATGTTACCTTTTTTTCTAAATTAGAGGAAAAAATATGTTGGAAAAGTAACAGTCGTTCCCAAGGGAAACACTGTACTTGGAGAAATGATTCATTCATTGTTGGCATGCTTAGTTTTAAACCTGAGTTTTCCAAAATTAACTTATATTTTTTAAATTAGAAATAAAATAAATCTGATGGTGGGGGGAAAAATGAGTTTAATAATAGATGTTATTCTTTCATAGGTTATTCCAGTTGCTACTATTTAAATCCTAGCAAATTAAGACATTCGTATCGCAAACTAAGTCATCTCTTAGACATTGGAAGTTGAAGTAGCATATATATATAATGCCTTTACAGCTATATAAAAAGCCCAAATTGTTTTTTCTATGTCACCAAGAAAGGTTACAAGGTAAGAAAGGTAGTAACAGTGACTATATTCATAAATAAAAGAGAAATTTCAATCTAAAAGTATTTCATAAGGTTAAATATTTTCTAACTTCTTATAATTTAATACCATACGATTATAAATTATAGTATGCTTCTAGTTGATATGCTTGTGGGAGACTTTCTTGTGAAACTTTATGGACTAGTAAATGTTCACATTCCACAGCAACCTAATTGACCAAAAAATAGGCTAGTGTGAATTGTGGAGAAATTATTTCTAACTTTTCTAGTTATTTACAAGAAAAGTATGTATCAGTTAAATAAATTGTAAGCAATATTTCACATATATACTTTATTTCTTAGCAGGAGTGATATAATGAGGGGAAATATGAAGTCCAAAATCTCAAAGAGCTCTATTTCCTGCTCCCTGCTCGTCTCTTTCCCACCCCCTACTTTTGTGGCATTGCATTTAGAAGGTAGTAGGAGGAGCTTTGTTTTGAGCATCTGCATACAAATCAAAGTAATCAGATCATATGGCATAATTTAACCTGTTCATCATTTACAGTGTTTTTAGATTTGACCTATAATAGATATGTGTTATTAGAACTTTAAATAGTTACTTGTAAGTATTTAATCTAAATTCATATAGAAATCTTGCTAACAGTGATATATAATTTGAAAACATTTTTGAGAGACAGTTAATGAGGAGGTGCTCTGGAATCAGATGACCTGGGTTTCTCAGATTTGCCAATTCTGCAGCATGATCTTGGACTCTAACCCTCCCATTGATAAAATAAGGAAAACAGGAAAACCTAACTCACAGGATTATTTTAGGATTAAATGAGATAATACAGATAAAGCACTTAGGGTAGTACCTGAAATACAGCAAATTTCTAATTAATAGGTCCTGATAAATGATTATAAAATTATTTTTTTAAATTAAAGCCTCACTTGTACAACAGAACGAGGTCTTAACAGTTTAGACTCAGGGAAAATGATGACAGCAGTGTTTTCTAATCTCCCCGTAACAACACAGAGCAACTAGGATAGCCACAGACACTATTACAATGCTAGATGACAAGGTATCTCTAAGAACTCGAAAATACAACTGAGTGAGGAGAAACCACTGAACCACATAGTTTCAGTATCTGTGGGAGGAAGTAGAAGGAAGGCAGCTGATTTCTGACAGCTCTGCAAATTGGAGAACTACAACACTCCCCACAGTTTCTCACTACAAGTGCGGTGGGCCAATCTAAGAACAGATACTGAAACTGGGAAGTGTTCTACAGAATGCCATTTGCAGGTGAATGTTAAAGCAGTATGATAAGGTTTGATGACTGCATTAGAGCAGTCTGGGTTTTACGCTGCGTGCCCCTTGAAGCTAATGAGGCAAAGCCCAGCACTGAGGACAAACTTCCAGAATTAGAATCCAAATGAGGAGGATGGGTAAAATAGGACAAAAGAAAGAGAAAGTCTAGATGAATATTGGGAAGGAAGGCCAAGATACAGAGACATTATATATATATATATATATATATATATATATATATATATATATATATATATTTCATATATCTATACAAATATAATCTTTTGAATCACTGTGAAAATGAAAACAGCTCTAAGGCCATGAAGCTGGAAGTCGTTCTAGAGCCACTCTTCCATCCTAAAAGTACAGAAAAACTCAGCCGGGCGCGGTGGCTCAAGCCTGTAATCCCAGCACTTTGGGAGGCCGAGGCGGGTGGATCACGAGGTCAAGAGATCGAGACCATCCTGGTCAACATGGTGAAACCCCGTCTCTACTAAAAATACAAAAAAAATTAGCTGGGCATGGTGGCGCGTGCCTGTAATCCCAGCTACTCAGGAGGTTGAGGCAGGAGAATTGCCTGAACCCGGGAGGCGGAGGTTGCGGTGAGCCGAGATCGCGCCATTGCACTCCAGCCTGGGTAACAAGAGCGAAACTCCGTCTCAAAAAAAAAAAAAAAAAAAACAAACCTCATTTCAGTTAAGGGGAAAAAAAGAGTAACTGAGCCAGTATTACAGTCCAACTTCATTCAATTTAGTATAAGAAATAAGAGAATAAATAGAGTAACTTCCTCACAGACAGTGAAAGCACACCAGAAAGACATGACCACAAGACAGATAAAAACAATATTTGCCAAAAAATAAAAAGCAATTATGACAGGAAATGTATAGCTATTAGTAAAATTATCAGTAAAAGTAGGAAAACATGACAATTAAGCAAGTACCAAACACTTGGAGTAAAAAGCAAACCAAAAGAAAACGGAAGGAATTAATAAAGATAAAAGCAAAACAAAAGGCAATAAATCCAAGTTGGTGATGGGTAGTGTGGGGAGTTGAGTGAGAGAAACTACCAGCTAACCTATTTAAGAAAAAAAGGAGGAAGCACAAATACAAAAAGTAAATGACAAGGGGGAAATAGTAAAACAGGAAATCTGGTTAAATTGACTACTATGAGCAATTTTACACAGTAAATTAGAAACTAAGAAAAATGCAAATTGCCACAATTGACTCTAGGTAGATAAAGTCACAACAAACTAGTTACCATAGAAGAAACAAATAGCTGAAAGTACCCCTTACCAAAGAAAGCATCAAGCCCAGACTGTTTCAAGGGAATTTCTACCAAACCTTTAAGATTTAAATAATCCCATTCTTGCTTATACAATCTAGAGACTAGGAAAAGAATCTTGTACCTCAAAGTGCCAAAAAAAAAAAAAAAAAAAAAACTCTTAAATTCATTTTATAAAGTGAATGTAATAATGTTGATTAAAAAACGTGACAAAGAGCTGGGTGCGGTGGCTCAAGCCTGTAATCCCAGCACTTTGGGAGGCTGAGGCGGGTGGATCACGAGGTCAAGAAATCAAGACCATCCTGGTCAACATGGTGAAACCCCGTCTCTACTAAAAATACAAAAAATTGGCTGGGCATGGTGGCGTGTGCCTGTAATCCCAGCTACTCAGGAGGCTGAGGCAGGAGAATTGCCTGAACCCAGGAGGCGGAGGTTGCGGTGAGCCGAGATCACGCCATTGCACTCCAGCCTGGGTAACAAGAGCAAAACTCCGTCTCAAAAAAAAAAAAAAAAAATGTGACAAAGATTGTACCAAAAAGAAAATTATAGACCAATCTCATTAATATTAATGAAATGTTTTAATGATATATTAGCAAACAATCCAACAGCACTTTAAAAAGGTAATCATGACTAAGTTGGATTTATTACAAGAATGCAAGGGTAATTCAATACTAGAGAACCTGTTAATGTTCATCATATTAAGAGTTTTAAAAATTATGTGATTTCATCTTTGTAGAAAAGACGTGATAGAAATTCAGCACTCACTTATGTTAAATATACTAAGTAGAAATTAATGAATCATCTATTAACATTGTACCTCTGCCTAAAAGCCAGTATCTTAAATTTCAAAGCAGAAGAGACTTTCCAGCTGAAGAGAGGAACAAGATATATGCCTAGTATCTCGTTTACTACTAAACAACGTGTTGAGAGTTTTAGCCAATGAAGTTAGATAAAATAATGACATGTGAATTGGAAAGGAAGAGGTAAAACTATTTGCAGATATGAATATGTATCTAGAAAGGTCAAAGGAACTTGTTGAAAAACTAAACAGTAAAAAAAACTTAGTAAATTAGCTATTAAACACAATTAACATACAAATATCAGTAGGCTTTACCAGACACAAGTGCATACTCTGATTCCATTTCAGTGAAGTTCAAAATGGGCAGCATTTATGTATGGTGTCAGAAATCAGCACCCCGTTTCAGTCACTACCTCTCTTCCCAAAGGTAAGCACTATCAAAATCACCATCAATGAGTTTTGTCTGTTTTTGAACTTTATATAAGTGTAACCATATAGTAAACGTTATTTTT